TCACCAGTTCCAAATAAGCTTTCGGGCCCTCAGTGGGGGAAATAGAACCCGAGTGCCGAGGCTCATCATCGATGTGCGGAACATCGAGCTCTGGGTCTCCCGAGTCCGAGTTGTCAGAGATCGACATGGGGGACGACGATCTCAGTGGTTGAGTGAGATCAGCCGGTATTTGGTCATCAGCAAGGGGATGAAGCTGAGGTTCTGAGGGAGAACACTTCGGGGGATCCCTAGGTCTCGAGAGCTCAGGAGGCTGGTCAGGAGCCACAGAGCGTGTCGAAGTCACGGATCAAGAACGTCTGGCGTGATCTGGAATGTGTCAATGCTCAGTACGTTCAGAGTGATGTAGCCGAACACAGTGGTGCTGCTGAGGAGTATGAGACCTCGGATAGTAGTAAGGATAATACACAGGCTGATGTAGTTCATCGGGAGACCAGTATTGGTCGTCAGAAGGTGATCCCGAGGGGGAAGGCGATGGACGACGAATGAGATGCTTTCGATCGTATCGAGAGCGAGAATGGCGGTCGACAGAATGCTCCTTGCCCTCCAAATCGTGGATCAGGGTACGGGAGTGTGGAGATGGAGATTGAGAGTCCTGGTGAGACGAAAGGATCAGGGTACGTGAGTTAGGCTCGGGGTCTTCGGACGAGGACTCACCCTCTGTAAAGGGGGCGGCCACCCCGAAAAGTTCATACAAACTGAGGATTAGAAAAGAGAAGAATAAATAGTGGCTGAAGGACTCTGATTTGTGCCTGAAAATTCTGAAATATTTTGGGATGCTCCGGGGGTTTCTTTAAGCAGTTAAATTAATAATTAAGAGAAAATTAATCTAGCATAACCGACTATGTTCATTGTTTTATTAGCTTTAAAAAAGTAACATTGAGTTAAGCTGATGTATTTATCTCCTACTCTTGGGTTTTTAGTTATTAGTGGGTCTTTTTTCTTTTTCCCTTAGATGTAGTTCCCCTTCCCATATTTTCGGCTGTAGTTTGTAGTGTGTAAAAAAATCAATTAAAAATTCCCCTTAGGGGGACCCAAAAAAAAAAAAAAGAGTCCCGGTGAGATGACAAGTCGGGAGGTGATCTCGTGGACTGACCCAGCAGAATAAGGCCAGATGCTAAAGAGAGCATAGGTGGTGGTCTCGGAGGCCGCAAAGTGGACTTGTGGGACACAACAGCCACAGCAGGAGTCAATGTTAAACCAGTGATGACGACCGGGTTGACAGCCGAAGTCAAAGCCAATGTCGAGGGCTTGACTTTCTGACGGAGTCTTATCCTCAGGCCGTTTAGGTTTTAGCTTTGGTGCCTTCAGAGCCCCATCCAATCTTTGAGGGACAGAAGAATGAGAAGCGGCCGAAGACATCGCAGGGGGCAAAGCTGCCTCTAAAAGCACAGCCCTAAGCCGAGCCTCCCTATTACGTCTAGCTTGCCTATTAAAACTAGTGCAATGGACGCAGTTATCGACCCTATGGGATTCCCCCAGACAAAAAAGACAAAAATTGTGACCATCGTTTGAAGGTATCTTAGCTGGGCAACGACGACACACTTTTAAAAACTTTGTTTTGCCCAAACAACTCTCCTCCCCACCCACCAAATGGAAGGGGGGGAGGAAGAAAGAAAGAAAGTGAAGAAAAAAGGTCTGTTTTGTTGTTGTTTTTAGAAATAGAGGGGAAAGAAGAGCGAAGCAAAGAAACAAAGACCGAAGAAGGCAGACAAACAAATATACTCAGCTGAGGCAAAATACGGAGAGCAACAGAAACGAGGTGTAAACATGCAGGCGGTCGAAGAAGAACTGAGTGGGAGGCGGCTCTCTCCCCTACCCCACTCCAGGCATGCGCAGAACGTGCCTGTTCCGCAGGGCGGGAAGAGAGCCTGTCAAAAGGTTTCTGAGGCAAAGCTCAAGAAGTTTCTCCGGTCGAGGTCGTGCGCAGGCGCCCAACCCATGTGTGGTACTGCACCGAGACCACGACGAAGATCAATGGAATTTCAAAAACTAGAAATATATTGTGGTATAAGCTTTTGTGGACTACAGACGTCTCTGTCAGATTCACAAAGTGATATCTGCAGTTGACAAACATCAACGGGCACAAATATGTCCCAGAAATATAATGGGTAGCAGTGGAGGAGACATTTCTACGCAGACATTTATTGGGCTCAGAAATATTTTCATACAGACTTACTGCTAGTCCTTGTATTTCATGGCCATTTGGCACATCATGCTTCTGTTGAAATGGACTCACTACCCAGGTAAGATGCACCACTCAACCATAGCTGGGTGACAAGGAGAACTTCTATGCTCCTGCCTTCTCTTCATGGTTTCTTGCAGGCTATTCCTCCACTACCAGGTTTTTCCTATATTATCTGAATGGGCAAACATTGATCAATGCTAGCCTTCAAATCACAAATTGCAAACCGAACTTCAATCTGAACCATGGCCTGAGCTGGCATTAGCCACAGTCTGCCAATCATGGTGAAAATCAGGCAGCGAAGGAGGTAGCTTGTCCATAAATGAGAAATGGAAGGGTGTGAGCTGCAGAGCATAATGAGATGCCAAAAACCATAGTTTCATGTGATGTCTGAACTTCAAGCATCATAAGACTTTGTGTTGTTTTTCCTAAATACATACTTTTCCCTTCAAAGATGATGTTATGTTTGTGAAAACTGGAACATTCAAATGTACAAGTGTACTTAAAATGCATTAATCCAACTGATTTATATATGGGTTACTCTTATCAAGAATTAAGAAATAAAGACAAAGGCCACAGAAGTATGAAAAGAAGAGCTGTATAAGCATAAAGAAATTCTTTTTTGTGACTAGTTGCAGCTCCTAGCAGAGCTTCCTAATGAGAATAGGGCTTTTTAAAAAAAAATCCCCAAGAGTTTGGGAATGTATAATAGGGTGCTTGACATTTTCTTTGAACTGAAGACCCCCATCCCATGCTGTGTCTAAATGTTTTTGAAAGAAGCACAAGCCCATAGCTCTCACAGGCACAGGGAGTGCTGTTCTGTGGATCTCAGGCTATATACTTTTGAACCTATCAGGAGGGTTTCTTAGAAGAAGCAGTTTGCAGAAAGTGTGGATAAGTTAAGTAGGCTTTAGAAACCTGACATCTCTGCAAAAATTCTCTCCCCCACCTCTTCCCAATTCAGATCCTGCAGTCACCCAGTGCTAAGAAGTTCTCATTTTTCCAGCATTGTCATCTAATGCTTAACAGGTTGCCCACATACTGGTTACATTATGAAAGGCTTTGGAGATATTCACTTGGAGACTGAAAAAGTATTTGGCTATCTTCTATTGAAAACAATTATGTATGTAGCAAAGAGGAACATCTTTTCAAATTCTTTTGTAGACAGAAAAACAAGACAGCACTTCAAAGTAAAGAGAGAAATTACACAGAGATTCTTGAATTTCTGAGACATGGTTTAGTAGTACACAATGATGGGAAATGGCAACGTTCTTTAAAGAACTCCTCAAGAGATAAATACCACCTATGCAGAAGCAAATAGGTGGTTTACAAAAACCTTCAATTATCGTTCAACCAAAGTAAGCCAACGGCAGAATGTTTCCTTATTCAAGTTAACACTCTAAAACTGAAAGAAACTAACTGGTAAATGGGAATACAGCTCAAGCACAATGAATAACATTTCACCTATGGCTATGGGGCTGAACAAAATGCACAGATGACATCCCAAGTGCTTTATGAATAAATATGCCGGAATAATGGCCAGACAACACGTGAAGGAAACGCTTTCTAGATGTCTTTCAACTAGAGAGCCAATTGAGCTTGCAGTGGGGAAAAGAGGGGGGAAATACTCAACATGGACAGCAGGGTGAAAGCAAAGGCCACAACTCTTAACAACAAGCAATGTGGCACATATGAGTCTGTAGACTGACAGCTAGAGGGCAGGACATGAAGCATGATACCCAGCAGCTTGGCCACCAGGTAACTATCAGAAAAAGGATGACTTACAGCAGGGACTGTGACTGTCAATTTTTATAATCCACTGCTGATGTTGACCCTTCTCAGCAGCAAGATGATTTGAGTCGCCATTTCCCCCCAAGATTTAAGGGTGCCCCCACATGAAGCACAGTAAGTGCCAGACTAAAAGGAAGTGGAGAAACGTTTATCCTAGATTCACACATCTGTCAAAATACATATTAACTATCTGACACCAGTTATGTCCCCCCCCCCAAGTTAAAACACTCAGACTTCTTAATGATACAAGCTTTTTCAATATATTTCAAGTGGGCAGTGCTATGTTGCTACACTCATCCCGTCTTCCAAATCCAATGTACTTCTGCAACCACAGATTTGAGTACAGCTAAGCCCAGGAATTTATGGTCCTTGGAGACCTATCCTGAAGAGCTATGCCAATTCTCTTTCTTTGTTTCTCAAACTAAAACCTACAGCTGCTATACTTGCACCCTCTTCCACCAAAAATATCATATCCCTAAAATGAGAGAAGTAAGCATTTTTAGAAATGAGGAACAGAACAATTTGCCATACAGTTCTGAAAAATCTGCCATTGTAGTCCTGAGACCATGCCAAAAGTCCTGAGAATGTGCCAAGTTTTGCCATCAGCCAACGGATGCCCTATGCATTCCGATTACTATTAGCATAGTATGGATAATCATAGATGGCCCCATACACTAACTGTAAAAATCATTTAGTCTTTCTGCTTCTCTGGCTCTCTCTTTTTCATGCACCTGCCACAGCGTACAAATGTTCAGGACAGTAGCTGTGTTAGACTGTTGCAAGAACTGATTCTCTGCAGTAAAAATTTTATTCTATCATCAAGTTTCACCTCCTACATCAAATGTAACAACCCACATAGTGAAGACTGAGATCCATAGGGCAGAAGTGAACATTGTGGGTTGCACGGATTTTGTCTCAATTACTATTGGGAGTGCAAACCATTGTACTCTGGACATAGGTAAGCCTAGCTTGAGAGTTTCCCACTGATAAACACCAGAATAAAACAACAAACCATGCACAGACTTACTGCATAATTTTAACTGACAGTAATACATCTCATCTCTATCACACTCAAACAGCTTTTGAGTCAATTCCACCATGCTCTCCATGGCTTCAACCTTTAACAAGAGAAAGAAAATATACCATAGTTATAAACCATTTCAATGCAATATCAAGAGTATTTTATTATGTGGGCTTTTTTTTTTACAGTCATGCAGATTTGCTATGCCACAGAGTTATGTCCCACAGGACTTGGGGAAGGAAGGGGTCAGAAGCAACTACAAATCGTAGATAGTAAAAGCCTTCTCAGTAGGTAGCAGAGAAAAAGGCAGCAGCTGCTGCGTCTCTTCTCTCATGGTCAAGGGAGTATAATAAATTCTGCCTTCGCTTCTTAGCCTTTATTTGTATCTGAAGCAACTCATGAAAGCTCATACCCTGCCACAAATTTTGTTAGTCTTTAAGGTGCTACTGGACTCTTTTTAGCCTTCATTTGTAGTTAACTGTGACCCCATTCTCTCCCCCCCGCCAATCTATGGCACATGCAGAAAATTTAGGGAAAGGACAAGTGTGGACCTCCCTGCTGAGGTTCCTTTATCAAGTTCCCTTTGGGGAAGGTAGGACAAATGCTCTCCTCCCCACTGAGCTCATGCTACAAGTCCATGAGTATTCATCAGAGGGGGAAATGGATGCTTGCTGTTGAAGAGAAGGCAAGTGAATTTATGGTATTCTTTGGAATATAATCTAGTGATAGGGAATCTTAGCCAAAACTTTGTGCCAGTGAACTATCTTTACTCTCTAGAATTCCCCAAATATCGCAGAGCTTTCACCTTGCCTACTTTAACTGCCTACCTTCAGAGCTACAGTAAGGGAGATATTTACACATTCCCTACCCCCAGCGTCTGTGTTCCTGCCAACTGAATGCAATCAAAACAGTGGAACATGTGTTATTATATTGCCTAATTTACAAAGGCATTTGTTCCACAAATTTCACACCTGTTCTATCTAAGTTCCCAGGAAGATGTGATAAATTCTATACATATCTCCTTCTTGGCGAGCTAATGAGACCACCTCTAATGGGACCACCTCTAAAGACCATAGCAAATTCTGTGTTGAGGCTTTGGCCATAAGAAAGCAGATATTCCAAATATTTTAATAACTTTTTATCTATAATCAGTTATACCTATAGGGCTATGAATTTTAATCCCTGTATATTAATTTTATATTTGCATGTGAACTGTGCTTGTAAACTGCTTGGCTGATCTTTGATCATAATAAATGATGATGATGGAATATAATCTCAAAGACAGGAAACTGACCCTCCACCCTGCAGTTTCAGACCACTGCCAACTGGAGATGCATTTAAATTTATTTATTTATTACATTTATATCCTGCCCTCCCCAAACGGGCTCAGGGCAGCTAACAGAAGAGGCATATGCCATAATTCAACAACTAAAAACAGAATAAAACAATAAATCACAAACAAAGTGCCGGTGCTCTAGAGGATAAGCTCTTATCAGTCCAAGATGGGGTTCCATTAACCAGCATAACCCATCAGCATAAGTTCCGGATAGTACTGTCGTCCTTTCATAACCAGTTCTTCAGTTCGTCTGGTCGTCTTGCCAGGGCCAGCTCACATCCTGGTAGAATCCACCGTCAAAGATGGAAACTCGGTGGTGGTACAGTAGCGGTGGCAGCTCCTATGTGAAAGCCTGGCAGAAGAGCTCCGTCTTACAGGCCCTGTGGAACTGCATAAGGTCCCGCAGGGCCCGGATCTCCTCTGGGAGCTCATTCCACCAGATAGGAGCCGCCACCGAAAAGGCCCCGGCCCTGGTTGCAGCCAACTTGATGTCCTTGGGGCCTGGAATTACCAAAAGATGTTGCGCCCCTGACCGTAGTGCTCTTGGGGGAACATATGGGGAAAGGCAGTCCCTTAGGTAAGCTGGACCCTGGCCATCAAGGGCTTTATAATAGGTAAGAACCAGCACTTTGAAGCGAATCCGGTACGCTATAGGTAGCCAGTGCAGCGCCTTCAGCACCGACTGGACGTGGCCCCACCTAGTGAGACCCATCAACAGCCTAGCTGCCGCATTCTGCACTAGCTGCAGCTTCCGGATTTGCGACAGAGGCAGCCCCATGTAGAGAGCATTACAGTAGTCCAGCCTCGAGGTGACCATCGCATGGATCACTGTGGCCAAGTCATCGCGGTCAAGGAAGGGAACCAACTGCCGTGCCAGCCGAAGATGGTAAAAGGCTGACTTGACAGTGGCTGCCACCTGGGCCTCCATCGTTAAAGATGAGTCCAGAAGCGCTCCCAGACTCCTAACCCTCGACACCGGCACCAGAGGAGCCCCATCGAAGGCCGAGAGGGGGAGCCCCAACCCCAAACCGACCCGACTTAGGCCCAAGACCTCAG